GTTTGAATTAATAAATGCAAAATTTAAAAAAAGTGTCAATTTGCCTGATTTTAATTTTTAGACATATCCATGAATAACATTCTATACACAATATTCTGTTTTGTCCTATATTAAAGTCCTAGCTATATATCACTTGATTAAAATTAATTTTATGCAAATTTTGTATTAAAAAAAAATAAATTAGTACAGGAGTTAATGTGCAATATGCCACCAAGATACCAAAAGGTTTAAAAAAAATAAGAAGAGTATTAATGGCATAAAAAGCAATATTTAACTTGTTTTCACTAGCAATAAAGGATGCAGTAGAAAAACTATTATTAGTTATATTTATCAAACAGCTAAATGAAAAACAGTGAAAAATATTTGAGGCAGCAAAAATAGGAAATGGTCAAATTCTATAGTCAATTCATGTGAACAAAATCGCAGCCTCTGGTTTTATACCAGATTCTCCTGGGGTTATTTTTACATACAAATGTGTGTGTGACAATCACGTAGCTATAACATATAATATAAAACTATAATTTTAACAAATCCTATGCCAATCCAAGTTTACTGGAAAAAATATTGGCATAAAAATCTGTTACATCTCTATAGTGCTTTTTAGCCAGAGCTGGAACAAATGTAAGGTCTGGATTAAACTTTCTTAGAGACAGGTAAGACATATATTTTAGATAATTAAGGTTGATCGGTTTAGATAAAGATAATAAATGGCTAAGCTGTGCCATAATAAAATTTCATTTTTATTTTTATCAAATATATTCATGTTTAATAGTAATTTAGACTTTTTAAAGATCCTCACTTAAATGCAAATATATTAAAATACAAACTGTATTTTAAACGATTGAGCTAAGAGGTCTTATTTATGGAGTCCAAAGTCAATTAATACACAAATTGTCTGAATATGAATGTAGAAATGAGAAAGATGAATGAGAATCGGTTTGACAGAAGAATTACATTTGCTCCAGTTAAAATTTCAAATGATTGTAATTACCAAGTGAAATATATATATATATATATATATATATATATATGTGCAGTGCAATCACTGATTCTGAAACTATGGTTAATTAAAGGTTAAATTCATATAAATATTAGAGTTATTACATGGTGCAACTTTAAATTCATACTCCCTAAATCTGATATTGAATAGCTTAATGTATCTAGAAATACAATCACATGCTGAGTCTGCAAAACTATATTTCACATGCATCTCGCAAGAGCTGAACTTTGTGCACACCTTAAAGGTATATGATGAAGTTTTATATTGAAACGAAATACATTATTTTTAAAGTTGTGTGTTTATTTCCATTTTTTGATTCTTGGCCCTGTGCAAATTAAAAATAAAATTAACAACAAAAAAGAAATTCGCAACTAATTTCACCTGTTATCCAACACTGGACCAGCCTACCCCCGGCAGCCACAATGCAATCTATGGGATCATCAATACTGATGATCTTAGTCCAATCCAAAACATCTTATAGAGAAGCATTGGGGATCAACAACACGTGTCTGACGTTTTTTTATAAAGCAATATTGAATCTGATTCTTCTCTATGCCGTATAAGATGACATCAAATATAAAGGCATTTGTAAAACCCAAGGTCTGTAATAACTAAGCACTTTGTGGTTTTGGATAAAAGTATAAACATTGCCATTTCTCAGATTTAACAATGTTTTACATTGTCATAAAAAAAGGAAAAGTGTCTATACACCAAAACCACTTCATTAAGATGTTGTACTTTATTTATGTCTACTGATGTCAATATTTTTCACTAATTCTGCTGATAAAAACCTAAAATAAATCAATTTTAAATGTACGTATATTTTCTGTTGCAGCATAAACAGTGATCTAGGCAAAGTCATTAAAGTACAAGCAGGAAGATCCTTTGATTTTGTTTGTAGTTACTGACTGCCATTTGTTGAGAATATTTCCCTGAATTTAGCAGCTCTCTGTATGAGTTTAAAGGGACAGTATTCCTGCAGCTTTCAATGAGTGAATTCAGTAAATGAATACACTTTCAAGTATGTGAGTGTCCAAATACAAGCAATCTATCCTGTCTTTTTAAATCGTATACCAATAACATAAATTTTTTAAATGGCGCGCTTCCTAAATTCCAGGTCACAGCCAGCACAACTGAGAGGTAAAAAAAAAATTTAAAAAAATTAGATACCATCTCTGTGAAATTCATTTTTTACTGACATTCAAAGTAGTAGAGAAACATTTTATTTTAAAATGTGTCTGAATATCTGAATATGCACTATTATGATGAATACATTTAAAAGTAGTACTTAACTACTGCCCTTCCTGTTACAGAAAGCAGATTTGAATATTTGAATTATTTGTTAGCTTTCCTTTGGCATAACTCACAGAAAAAAAATCAGAGCTCTGTATATAATGTGCATTTCATTTTCCAGCAGACAAGGAGGAGTTATTAGTCTATTCTCATAAAGTCTATCACAGGTTAAATAATAACCATGATTTGAATCCTACGTGAGATTGTATTGGTTGAAAACACTGACACTCCAATCAGAATACAGGTTATGATTTTTTAAAAACTCAGTAATTTTTTTCTTTTGTGTCTCTCTCATTACCAATTGTTGTCCAGGT